AATTAAATTTAAAAGATCCTTGCTAAATTGCAATTTTTTGATAGTGTTATTTTAATCATATAAAAATTCCAAGAGAGATGTACAACAAAAGTTTAAAAAAAAGAGAGAAAATAGCATTCAAGGGTCATTGGATAAAATTTACTTCAATCAATGATCAGTTGTCGTCAAAACTTGAATGAAAAATAAGCTCAAATGAACGATTGTTAATTTAAAATGAATAATTGTTAAAATCTAAATAGATACTTGTAAATAAAATATTAACCAAAACTAACCAGTATTCATTTAGATTTTGATAATAAATTATCTTTGACTGATATAAATTTCTTGAGTGGTCTTTAATTGATATTTTTCCTTAAAAATCAAATAATTTTATGAGTATTGACTAGCAAGGCACAAAATTTTTTCACCAATGCTAGAGACAAGGATTTTATCTCTCGCTAATATATGAATTTAGAGAGAAAATTTTAAGAAATTAATAACCCAGTGTTCATGAAAAAGTCACTAGTATGGGATAGCTTTTTTATGTCGCCTTTTAATGGTTATTTTTTAACAAAAAAAACCATAGTAAAAATAGGTGATGGCAAAATTGTAATTATGTACAAAATTTTTTACATCAAATTTGTAAAAAATTGATATAAAAACTACAATCCACGTTTGTTATTAAAAAATTGACGTGGGTTGTCAAAAAAAATAAAAAAAATCATATATTTTCACATTAGTTGCTCTTCTATAATAGATGTGAAAACTTAAAACCATTATGATTTCAATTTAAATTTCAGATCTTAAAAGATTCATTATTAATATTTGTTCATTCAATTTTAATTTCCTTTCCATTCGACCCTTCCACTCCTAAACCCGAAACTTAAAATGCTTCCTCCTTTGCCATTATGGAGGTTCATCGCTCAATCCATTGTCATCATTGTTGAGTCAGTCACCATTCTAGGTTCCACTGTCGTCACTTTTTTGCTGTCATTTGTGTCGTTTTACATTATGCTATCATTTTTTTGCATTCCACCTTCCAAGTGCCATTTTTGTTTTCCTTTTCTTTCTTCTTCCATTGTTGATTTCATTGACATTTCTTTTAGTCATGAGTGTTTTGTTCCTCACTATTCTTCTACTTTCTTTGGAGTAGTTAGTAGCTGTGGATATGAAAAATTTTATTTTTGTTCTCACTTAACACTAGTCGTGCTCGATTTGAAATGGCCATTTAGTTTTATTAATTTGTGTTGTTTTCTTTAAAATTGTTATATATTTATAATTGCTTGAGATTATATTACTTAAATTTTTATAATGCCTTTGAGTTTGATTTAAACTTCCTCGTTATTAAGATTTAAGTTGAATTTGATTGTTATTGAAATTTTAAGAGATTTAGTTTTAAAGGGAACTTTGCCAAGATTTTTTATAATCTCTATAATATTTATATAATTTACTCAAGACTTGAGAGTTAGATTTAAATTTTATTGTTGTTGAGATTTAAGTTGAATTTGATTATTGTTAAAATTAATAAGTTTAAAATCTAGATGCATAACAAATTAAACAATTTTTTAATTACACATCTAACAATGATTATATAAAAAATTGATGTTAAAACAATGTTAACGTGTGATGTTAAAAAAATTTTAACATCAAAATTTTAAAAATAATTATTGTAAAAAGCGAGATTTTCATATTGGTTATTATGTAGAAGTCATACTTTTCATGTTGGTTAATTCACTAACTAATGTGAAAAGTTGATCTTTCACTTCATTTTTTTTACTTTCTTCTAATAATCAATGTAAATAGTAAAAAATAATCGTATTTAAAAGTTCTTTCTACAATAGTGAGTGAAATCATTTTTATATACAATGTGTTAGGCATTGACTCAGTGTGATGAATAGAAGTTATCAAATTAATTGAACACATGTGAAATATAGGACAAAAATTATCTTATAGAAAAATTAAAGACTACTTTCATTCCAAATCAAAAAGACACTCATGGCATTTGAAAATATAAAATATTTTGATAAAAATAAAATTTTATTAGTAATTTTTTAAAAATATTGTCCCTCTCACACTATCTCTCTCTAATATTATTTATAGATGTTTATATTTTTATTTTAAAAAATAAAACTGTAAAGTATACTTAAAAATTTTTTATTGGGACATGTCATGTTATTTAAAAGCATCCTGTAAATTCAAATAAGAAATACTTTGCTGATGTTTTAGTTGATCGAGGTGACGTAGGAATGCCTTTATTTGACTTTCACCGTTAATTCAGACATGGCTTTCAACTCAGCCAAACACAGTGATGGATAAAACCATGCAATGACAAACGGCCAACCAATTACCTACTGCAACACAGACGCACCCACATCACTGAAATTACAGAAGGCGGCTGAGGGGCACAAAGTCTAAACTCCAGAGCAATACGATCGCACCAAGTATTTTAAGATAATTCAGATATTTTTTTTTGCCAACAATTTAATTATTATTTTTAATCATTCACTTTCAGGATACAGAATTTTTATAAATCTTGATATGATCTAAATTTTGTATCTGTCTACACTTTTTTTCTTCGTGGCCTTGGCATTAGAAAAAAGTCCAAAGCAACTAGGAGAATTCAAAGGAAGGTGTGGGATTCCCCAAACGTCGAAAAAAAGAAAAACAAAAATGACAATAGAATCCACAGGAGGATTAGAGCGGGGAAAAGACGAGTGAGCGGGCTTTGAATGCGCATAACGAGCCACATATCTGCCACTGTGCGGTCTTCTCTGTCAACGTGCTTTGGACTGACTATCCAGTTACGATTAAGCATGAAGTGAATATCCTTCGCAGTTCTATAACACCTGGCTGACACATCTTAATTTTCACTCTCTTGGAATCAAGCTGATTGCCGTTTGCGACTCTGCCTGTGGTTGTGCATGCCGATTATCCATGATCCCAAAGCGACTCTGCTCTTTGGTCATTTTTTTTATAAATTATTTTTATCAATTTTATTAATGTCAATGCAAGAAGATATAAAAAATAAAAGTGTGTAAAATTTTAAATATATCTTTATATAATAAATTTAAAAATATTTTTAAAATATTACCTAAAAAATCATACTGTAATTTATAAATGAAGTTAAATAAATTTTCTAAAACTTAATGAGATTAAAGGGAGTATTATATAATTTTAAATATAAAAAATTATATGGGCTTGGATTTTGTTTCAATTACTTGACTACTTAAGTTAAAAAAAAATAACAATAAGGATTTATAACTTACAAGACCACTGGGCACCAAGGGATTCAGGTTAAAAAAAAAAACAAAAGAAAAGAACTAATGGATTAGAAGCAAATCTTTTTTTTTTTGTTTTTAAATGCCATGGTCTGGTTTGAGATACTTGACATTCCCCACCACTTAATACGGGGATAATATAAATTTAATATAAATATAAATAGTCTAAATTTAATATTAAAAATTTTTAAATTTTAATATTAAATTTAAATCACCCATATTAAATCTATACTCAAATTAAAAATGAAACATGTTTATTAATATTTTTTATAATTTTTTCTTAAATATAAAAAATAAATATTTTTAAATTTGAGCCATCCAAATTAGATTCACTGTTTCTCATGGGAGGGATAGTGGAGGAATTCACTTAGCATTTTTTTTGCCAAAAAAAATACTGCAGATAGAGATGATATAAGAAATAAAGAAACTGCAATTAAGATAAATTGATTTTAATTGGATGATAATCTTAAAAAGTAGTGATAATTTTTTAATCGTTTAATGACACACACCACATTTAATTACTTTTTAAAATGCTGGTGATTGTGGTTAAAAATATTATGTATTTTAAACCTGGAGAGTATACCCAAAGCATAACGAGGGCACACCCTTTTCCGTTTAGTTTTTCATGCTTTAACGGAATTTGATGTAATTTTTTTCTTTAAAAATTTTTAAAATATATTCTTTCTATTTAAAAATATAAGGTATTTTTTGAAAAATTTGATATTAAAAAATGTAAGACATTTTTAATCTTTAAAGGTGTAATAATTACTTTTTTTTTTAAAAAAAATGTCCTTATTGACAATAACTTTATATTTATTATAGGGTATTTAATAAGAATAAATATAAAAAGATAGAGTTAGTTAAAAATAAGTAATTATTTTATTAGGAAGTAAAATTCAATTAAAAATATCTTATATTTTTTAATTGAGGAAGTAAGTCAAATTTTCTGTGTACAAGATAAGAGTTGGAAGTCCAAGTCTCCGTTTAGATAAAACTTTTTAAATTTTAAAAATAATTTTAAGAGAAATTTGAGACAATGTTTATAAAAAACAAAAAATTAGTTGCTGTATTTTATCTAAAGAAACAGATAATCCCAAGTCCATCCGTCTATAATCTATTTAACGAAGAAAAGTAGGTGCGATTCATGTATTTTATTGCCTGGTCTGGTTGATAAAAAGGTAAATCCACAAAAGAGGTAATGGTCTCAAGGGGCTCACGTGGCCAGTGAACATACGATACCGTGTGTGTGTGTGTGTTGCCGTCGCCATGCATAGCTCAGTCAATCAGAGTACTGGCATTTCCTAATCGGAGGGTCTCCTATCTGCCATCTCTGCGTGTTCTTCAGACCCATAATTGAGTGCTGCCTCAGAAGTGTCGCTCTTGTGAGCATTTTGCCAATTCCTCGGCTGAGAAATTGAACCCCACTCGCACCTCTGGTGCAATTGTAAAATATGGTCAACTTCAGGGAATTTGGGGTAATTTTATATGAATCTAAATATAAGACGACGCGGGCTCTGGTGAGGTAGGTCTGCATTCTGCAGTGTGCTATTCACCCTAAAATGAAAAAGTGGCCACTCCGCCACCCAATTAAATATCAATGATAAAAATTAATATAATATATGAATAAACAAAAGGTGGCAGCACTGAAAGCCGTAGAGGCAGTAGTTATGCAGTGTATGTACAAATCCCTCCCAGCAACTCTGTGAAGTCTGAACATTGAAATAAAAGCCCTTTCCCCACCCAAATGAATTTTACGCCCATCCTGACTACTCTCACATGCCTCTCCTGCAACCAAGCAAACTGACAAAATCAACCCAACCCTCTCTCTGTGTTTTCCATTCTTAACTGAGTAGTGAAGTGAACATTGGAAACCTCAAAAATCATCCTTTCCCCTTTTCCCTCCCTTTCCCACTGGCCACTCGCACCATCCCTTTCTCTCTTTCCCTCCTCTCCTAAAAAGCTACCCACCGAATCTCCCTCCCCGCACCCCCACTTGTGTATACTGGCTCTCCCGACCATGGAAGCTTTTAGCTTGCTCAAATACTGGCGACCCGGTGCTTCGCTCCCTCCTGGGGCTCCTCCTCCCCCTTCTCCCGACGCTGCCACCACCCTTGTCACCGCCGTCGCTGAATCCGTCGTTGACTCTGACGGTGAAGACGACGACGACGACGGGCCGTTCTTCGACTTGGAATTTGCGGTTCCTGACGAGGCTGATGATTCCGAAGATGGCCCTGAAAATCTGAATGTTAACCGTAGCCGAAGCAGCTCGCCCCTCCATAGCGAAGAAGACCGGGCTGACGTTGAGTCGGACGATGGAGATGATGAGAAAGAGTTCAAATTCACGCTATCTCCTTCCGCAAATGATCGTGGGGATCCTGACCTTTCGCTCTCCCCTTCCGACGATCTGTTCTTTAAAGGCAAGATTGTGGAGGTGAAGCCTTCTTCGTTTGTGATTAACTCTTCTGAATCCGAACCCAATTCGAGGCCTCAGTTTACCGCGTCATTGTTGAAATCCGCTACCAAGTTCCGTATTTTTATGGCCGCTCTCAAGAAATCCAAAGCGAATGCGTCGGACAAAGACTCTAATGCGTCTGATGCTCCGAAACAGCCGGAAACTCAACCGCCGGAATCACAGAAGAAGCCGCCAGAGCAGCATCAGCAGAAGAAACTTTTTACAGTGAAATTTAAAATCGAGGAGGTTCCCATTATGTCTCTTTTTACACGAGATAACAGCTCTAGAGGGGCTTCAGTGAACAAGTCCCTGAAGCAGAACACTGAGGAATCACTCACTTCGGCTACGGACGAAAAGCGTTTCTCGAAGGAAGTAATGCAAAAATATCTGAGAATGGTGAAGCCTCTCTACATTAAGGTTTCCAAACGGTACGGAGGCAAACTGAGGTTTTCCGGGCAGCTCAATGTGAGCTCCAGAGCCAAACCTGCGGGGCCAACTCCGGCCACCGCGGCGCAGAAACCTGCGCTGACAAAAGCAGCAACCGAGAAGGTTCCGACGGAGGCGGATAGTTCTGAAATCAAGGGACAACAAAAACAGGGAAATCTGCCGGCCGGGTTGAAGGTAGTATGCAAGCAGTTGGGGAAGAGTCGTTCCGCTTCGTCAGCGGTGGCAGCGACGCCGGCCGGATCAGTTTCTTCGCGACGGCGTGATGATTCTCTTCTTCAGCAACAGGATGGAATCCAAGGGGCCATTTTACACTGCAAAAGGTCTTTCAATGCCTCCCGAGGTAAAAAAACGTATAATTTTTTCTTTTTTTCTGCAACTCTTTGTTGTTGGGTGGAAGATTTTGGGGACCATTTAGGGCTAATTGCTGGTTAATTGATTCGTACTTGAAAATTTAAAGAATTTGATTTGTTTTTTACCCTTATCAAAACAGAGTGCGAGTCTTCCCAGCTGCCACGTTCCGTGAGCGATCCCCTGCACGAGATATCGCCGGAATTATCAACAAAGTCGACAGAGAAAAGCAAAGACAAGTGCCCTTGAACACTGGGGGCTCTTACAGACAATTTGAGAGAATCAGGGTGAGAGACGCAAGATTTGAGTCCTTTTCAAATGTCATCGCTCTGTCTGTAAAAAGAAAAATGTTAGTTGTTCGGATTATAGTGAGTAGCCGTGTATTGATAAACTATTGCTAGTGTTGATATGGCCTTTTTGGCTGGGTCGCTCTTTTATCCCTAGTAGGATAAACTGTAAAGCTCTTCTTTCCTAGCAAGTGAAAGAAGATCGTGCCTTTTCTTTGTAATGCATGATGTATCTATGTAGCTTAGAACAAATAGTTTCTTGACCCCTCCGGTAATTAGTATTTACTACTAGTTTAATTCATGAGTCCCTTTTTTTGTTAAGTTTCTCTTTTTGAAATAAAAGATCATATAAAATATTTAAAATAAAACGAGACACCTGAATTCCATTGAGCTCTTGCAACCTAAATCAGGGATGATAGTGAACGAAAAGAAATTTACATCTACATCTTGAGCCAAGCTAGTGACTCAATTGGTGTATTGATTGCCTTTATGGTGTAAATGATATAAGATAATATTTCAATCCCTAATTAGGAAATGCCTAACAACCTCAGTATGGTCATTTATCATGTGTCTGGGCTTCTTGGGGTATTGTACCTAGTGATCACGTTGACTTCCTTTGCTGAGTTGTGGTTACCATGCCTATACCAAATTCCTCGTCTCAATAGATTGCAAGAATTTTGCATATCTCAGCAATAGTACTGAGTGACCGAGTGGGATCAAGTTTCTTTCCGAGTCTCGTGATGCGCCACAAGAAACCTCTACTTCATAGTCTAGAGATTCTTCAACATCTAGATGAACTCAATTGTTTTGATTGGAGTATGGGACCATATCCCCCGTTCTCTTTTCTTGCCACATGCATCTTGCATAGAAACACAGTCGAAGATCAAGTTTTCCACATCTCTAGCAGGAGAAGGAAAAACTCTAGATTCAAAACAATGCTTCTAGGCTTAGCAGCAGATTTGGTCACAGGGAAGGAGGGGGAGGAGAGAGAGACGAGAGCCGGTTCAATGGTGGCGAGGAGGAGGGAAAAGAAAGGGGTGAAAGGCATTGATTTTTGATATAAAGTGAGGAGCTTTAAATAATAAGAAACATGATTAGCGTCAAAGAGGAGAAAAACAGCGGTCAGAGAAGTGGGAAAGATGGGGACATGAGCAGTAAAAGTGAGATTTTCTTTTTAGGGGTCAAGACCGGGGAGGAAGAAAAGGAAAGAAATGGATTGGATTGGAATTAGAGACAAGCGAGTTTTAAGTGGGAATCTCATTCTCGGTAAAATTCACGAGAGCCTTCTCTTTCTCTGCCTCTGCGCTGTTGGAGCCTTGGCCCTCAATGTGTCTGAAGGCTAGCATATATTGGAATTGGCGACACTCATTGATGTGAGTGCGCACCACTATGTTCATGTTCCTCTGCTACTCGGATACTACTAAATTTCCTATAACGTTAGACATTTCCTTTGTCTTTTTGTGCCACATATGATTATGGACTCTACATTTACCGGCTGGCCCGTTCCTTGTTGGGTTTGTAGGGCCCATATTCTGGCCCCACACTAGAAACAGGACCCCAACTTTCTCCATTAAATCCGGTTTCCAAGTTATCTAATTCAAATTTAATAAAGTGTGAGATTAGAAACTATCATATCATAGATCGCTTGAAAATCCAATATAATGCGGTGAGGGATAGGGTAAACAATATTGAATAATAAACAACTTCTTTCATTCATTTACCAATTTGTCCACAAATTATTTATCCATTAATAATAATCCACGGAATGTGATGTAAAAAACTTTTAAGTATAAAGAGAATTATAATAATATAAATATATATGTTATTATATCCCTCTTGATCTTGAATTAGTAGTCAACAGTCCAAAATTATAAGGATCAATTGAATGGCTATTTGATGGCAGTGGAATGCTTCTTATCGATTGAAATCAGAATCTTTCACCAACCATGAAGTCGCATCAACCTACTGTTCATTTCGGACTACGCTATTTGTCATTCCTGCTCAGGACATTCGGCTTCTACATACCCATTACTTGCAAATTACAGAGCTGCCTATACAATAGATACTAAACAAAGTGGAATTATCATGCATTAATTGATGATTTGCACAAATATTTTGCATTCTCTCTTCGTAATTATACAAAATTCTACTTTTGGTCTAACCAAAATGTCATCACTGATCAGACTCACCCAGAGATAACCCATCAACCGTGAAAGCCTAGATATCAACGCCGGTGAAGCAAGCCTCACCGTGGGTTGACTTACTGCTGATATTGTATACCAACGTACAGTTCATCCGCACCTCGACCTTTCTTTTAATAAGATTCAGCACTTTAACGATGCCACCTACTCTCGTGTAGCTGCTGATGTTCATAGCATTTTCTCTGATCAGATCGCTCCTCAGGCTCGGGTTCTCCATAAGCTTCTCTGTCATAATCTCCACGGTCACGTTCAACCTCAACGTCTTTCTGCCCCTGGCCTTACCCGGCGGGGTACTACCTTCTCCAATTCCGGTGCCATTATAGTAAATGACGGTGCTGCTGCTTCCAAACCTGAAGGTGAAGACGTTGGGATTCTTGACGGAGACATCAGCTATGAGTGTCTTGTTTGCTTCTCTACTTAGAGGTGAGTTCAGGAGGGTTACACCGTTCAGACTCAGCTGAGGCTCTTTCACGTTGTAGACTGTGAAACTAAATATTAAGAACGCGACCACGATGATCAATACGATGGCTGTGACGCACCCACAGCACTGCACATACTTTCGTCTTCGAAACTTGAGGGGATCGTTGGCGAAAATGGCTGGATGATGTTCTACGTCGCCGCTGCTAAAGTGTGTGAACGACGACGGAGCTAAGGGTTTGACCTGCTCTCTTTCAGCCATTCTTGAAACTGACGCTTGTAGGGCAAACTTCGATGGGTGGTTTGATATATTATTATAGATGAAGCTGATGAACTCGATTGGGTAAGAATACGATGGAATGTAGTGCTTAACCTCAACCTCTTGACTTGAGAAATCACGGAGTCAAGTCCATGTTCGGTGTTAACTCGTTGGACACGTTACCGTGTAAACGGCATGGCTTGACCTCCATTAGAATATGTATGGCAAGGAATCTTCCATATTGTCGAATTACAAACCAAATCAAGTCGGGGATTTGGAACAATTAATTTTGTTTATTATGGAGTTGAAATTGATCAGAAGGAAATGGGGGGTTAAATTAGACGAGGGCAGCTGGGAGCATGTCTGCACAAAATTGATTTGTGATCGGCCTGCTGTGATTGTCTCTTGTTCATTGCTTGGTCAAAGGGACAAAAAATAAATGGTACTTGCTTGCCAAAACAATGCTGTTTGAACTGTGGCAAGAAGAGACCTGGACTGGGACAACCAATAAAGCCAAAAGCTCTCTCGGCAAGATAATTAAATATCAATCTTTTGACATAATATCCGGTCTCCGATGATCATTTTAAATTAATTGCTTGACCAATTTAAACATGAACAATAATTACTTGATTTTCTTACCTTCCATAGTCCCGTCTCGCTGTCATTTTTACCGAAGTATATGCTGCAAAAATGGACAGCGAAAGGCCTTATACATAGGCATGATCTTAATTCAGGGCGAGCATGGGGTGGGGTTGGATATCAGATTGAAAAACTTGATGGCCATTGGGCTGCCTCAACTGTTGTTGGGCTTTCCGAATAATTTGAGGCCCCTTCGGCTTTTCTATCATGTTTTAAAACTTCTTTCTTTGTACCGAAATAATTTTCCTTTTTCCCCAAAAAGAACTTCTTTGTGAGCCCCATAAAAAAACAGTGTCGTCCGAGTGCGACCGCACCCTCCAGTGCCCACAACGAACATGAAAAAGAATGCGTCATGTTGTTTATTGTTGGAGAAAAATACTTTTTGGATACACACGAAAAAGAGGGTCTGATTTCTAGAAAGAGGGTCGGTTGTTTTGGGTGGCCAAGTTACATGCTGAAGCAAATCCAGATTTGGGGAGTGATTTAAATTTATTCATTCAATAAATGTCTTATATGATGTAATAATCATTGTTTAATTTAATCAAACTATTGTTCGCTATCCTCTCATTTAATATTTAAAAAGTAATAAATCTTAAATTTTTAGTGTTTTAATTGTGAAGTCTGTTTTAAATTTTTTGAGAGAAATATATTTTAATAATTTATAAATATTAATAAAGTTCAACAATTATAATCAAACACCTAAATGAGCGAATTGAATTAGACTCCATGAAATCTGCGGGATGTAGTTATAGTCTAGGTATCATCACGATTGCATAATTTAAGCATTCAATGCTACCGTACCACAGCCATTATTTTCTTTAACGTCGGATTCAATAATTAATTACTCAACCGATAGCATTTATGGGTAGTTAATATGTTCAGAATGCAGAAATCCACACGGCTTGAGTTTGTAAAATAGAGGCTACCCGTTGATGCGACTCCACCCAAAAGTTGGCTGCTTGTTATGTTGATAGAAACCATTCACGGTTTAATCTTCCGCAGAGATCCTGGATTCCTTCGTGCTTAAGCCATTAAACTCGTATGCACTCAGCTACCGAGAGGATTTAAAGATGCATATATGGGGCTCGCTTTCTTTATTTCACTTATTTAAATTCATTCCTCAAAGCTAATAAAAGAAATCAGCAACGCAGAAGGATTAACTTGCAAAAACGAAAACATACAAGAAAGAAAGGCATGAGCTGGTGAGTTTGATAATCTGAAAATGATATGGGTGTAATATACATACCAAAAAAGACATGCGCGATAGAAAGGAACACAAAGGTATTATCAACACTGCAAATTTTGAACTGAATAGGATGTCAGGTTGAGACGCAGGACGCAAGCCAATTCAGTGGACTTGTTCTTCTTCAAAAACTTGAGAAGGTGGACAGTGCCAGTGAGTTTAGTGTAGCCTGTGAGATTGAAAGCCCCAGAAAGGATATCATTTGAGAGATTCCCAGAAGACACTACCGGATCCGACCTTAAGTTCAATGTAACATTCAATGCTTTGATTTCTCCGGCCTTCACTCGGCCACCCTCCAATTCTCTCTCAGCAATTCTGGAGTTCCCATAGAGCACGGTCACACTGCTATTTCCATAATCGAGGTTTCCGAAGTTTGGATTGTTGACAGTTATCTTGGCGACCATCGTGAGTTTAAAGGAAGGTGATGGTGAAGTTCTGTAACTCAAGTTATTGACAGAAGCCGATTCGAAGTGGAGCAGAGGCTTTTTGACACGCAACACGATGGATGCAAAAACCAGAAGAATCGCACACAGCAGCACAAAAGCGGCCAAAAGGAAGACGAAACACTTGTTGCTTCGTTGCTCCTGGCTGGGTTTGGAGTACATGGTTGTCGCCTCAATCCAATGTCACGATCGAGTTGCTAATGGGTCTTACTCTTTAATTTATATATATATATATATATATATATATATAATCTAGTATATAACAGAAGAAGCCGAAGGAGTTTTCTGTTACAGATAAGAAGCTGAAGAAGTCGCAAAAATTATGTGTTTCCGACTTCGGAGATGAACCAAGGGTCTGTTGCAAGTTTATTGAATTTATATGCACAAATTGAGACCCTTTTTTTGCTCGCACACCCTATCTTAAGCCTGCCCTGAGCCGAGGAGATTTAATGGGCTCGGACTAATTCAAATTAACCATTGACGAATCTTCTCAAGTGGCGGGCTCCGTCCCACAGTTTCAATGCTGCATTCGTATGATTCAAACTTGCTAGTTAAGTGAAAGCAATCTTTTACTAGTTAATTCAAATTAATGTCCTATTTGGGTAGCCCTCATAAGCACGTTTAAATCAATAGTTGGATACTTTAAATAAATTTTTGCCAACTATAAACTAAAAATCAAATACACACTAAATCTTTTTAACTTGTTATGGATAGCCTCATGTCATAACTTATTTTTAGAAAGAGTAAGACCTACAAGGTTGAGGAGTTTTAGGAGATTTCTCGAATGATATAGAGAATTTTAAAATATTTTAGAAGAATCTAATATATTCTGAAATATTTTGAAAGTATATGTAACAATTTATAAATATATGAAAAAATCTAAAATGATCTAAAAGTTAGGGAGGAATGTGGATGTTTGAGATATTTTAAGATGTTCCACACATATGTTAAAAAAAAAATTTCAGAAATGTCTTTATAAATATTTAGAATAATGTCTTAGATATTATCATAAAATATTTTAGGGAAGCATTGTAAATTTTTAGATTGAATTGATATCTATAGTCCATTAAGGAGGCAAAAAAATTTTAGAATAAGGGAGAAGTTTATAAATATTCCAACACCTCTCATTTGTAATAATTAAATAAACTAATAAAGCTCTCAAATTACTCTTTCATGCATTCTAAGCATTTTATCCTTTTTGCCTATATTCCAAAGGTTTTGACTGATTTAGTTAAGATTAAAAGGTTGATTAAGCTAAAATAGGCATGATTAAAGAAGAGGGAAGTTTTAAGACTGACATTCAGCCGTGTTTGAAAGCAGCAATTTCTTTTTATATTTTTGTTATTCCGAGCGGCACCACCTTTTGTTCCAGGGCCATAAGAAACGTGATATGCTAGTATAAGGATAAAAGAGGAGGTACAGTATCGGGGCACATCGCTTGATTCCTAAATCTTTAATTATTTTGTGTTAAAAAATAAAAGTTAAATTTTATAATATTAAATTAATAACAATTAAGTTTTTGATAAATTTTTTAAAAAATAAGTTAAAAATATAAATTCAGATAATTAAAAATTTAATTATAAATAAATATTTAAGTACCAACTATAATTTTTAGATAGTAAAAAAATTTTGTTTGTAATAATTTGAATTGATATTTATAATTTTTTTAAATTTAAAGTTAAATGGATTAGCTGTTAAGTAATGGTGGGGAATAATAAAGTGAAAAAGGCCCATGTGGCAAACTTTATGGCGGCATAAAGGATCCGGCTATGTAGGCCTCTTTTAGGTCCGTCGGCTTATGGTAATACAAAAGTGTCTCTCTTTTATATCCTCCTCTCTGGTGGCCAAGTGTAGTCCCTGATTCTTGACTTTTTCGCTGTCTTGGACATTCTATTTCTTCAATCTTTGATCAAAACACTGCACACAAATGAACAATAACAAGAAGCAACAGTTTCACAAATTTAGCACTTTAATTCAAGTGGTGCTTGTAATGATATCCACGAATCACTGCTGCGCTTGAAAGTTTCCATTCTCAACACTCAACACCTTGTCAGAATAATCACAAGTCAAAACAGCATCTTTCCTCCTCCTCCTTATTCGCAAGACCAATAAATAAGGAATAAACACCTTGGAGTCACTGCTCTAGCCAAATTTTGTTTTAGCCAGCTTAAAGAAATAAACAGTTTCGAGCCGCCATGTCCAATAACGTAATCTTAAAACGAAAAGTTCCAAATTTTAGCCCTAAGAAAAAGTCTGCACCAATTATTTCATTGAGTAATATTAAGGTAATTGATTCCTGTGAGCAGAGCTTTTCCCCTTTATTTTTTGTTTTTGTTTTTGTTTTTCTTCGCATAAAGAAGCATGTATGTATCTGTTTCGCCAGATATAGCAAAGGTCAGAAGAAGTCCCTGAGTTAAAATTATCATGATAATTATTTGAATGAAAGACGAATCAGAAAGAAATGTGTATCAACTAATCTACACTTTGTTGTAGTCTTGTAGGTAGATAGTCCTGTAACGAGCAGTACGATTCTGCTCTGCCACTTCCAACTCATCTGGACAGAAAATCTTGCACTGACATTGCTTAAAAGCACCAAACAAGCAGTAAAACTCAAGGGACCTTGGATTAATCAGAATTTAGTTTCAGATCAAGATACAAAGACCAAAGTAGATAAAAGAATCTTAACTGCAACAGCATTTATGTCAGCAAAAATACTACTATCAATCCCCCTTGAAGCAACTGCTGGACAATGCTCCAAGCTTTTCACTTATTCTTCTGCAAGGCGTCAACTATTTGATCTTCGGTATTTCAGTACTGCAATGAAGGAGCTAGACTTCAATATTTTCTTTCATAGCTTTCCTAATTGTATAATATACTTGATCCTGACATGCTTCCTTCCATGGAACACAAGATTTTCAACCATTGCAGCAGCAGATTTATTATCACATAAAATTTTTTTAGCAGCTTTAAACTTCAGATGATTCATATTTTTCTCAGCCATAAAGCTTGATTGGGACTTTGACAGTAGGCACATGTCATGCAAGTATCTTGATAGAACGCTAGTTGCTTATACAGTAGGTGGGCAGCTTTGTGACTCGTTAAAGAAAACTTTAGCAATTCTGCTACATAACTTTTTTGAGGAAAAAAATGCCTTTTGAAACTTGAGACACTTCAATTCCCAAAAAATAACACGTCATCACCAAATCATTTTCTATCATGTGTTCACACTTCGCATTCATTCCTATGAACCAGCTGGAGCTTCTCAGTTGTTTTCCGTGCTTGGTTTACGGAAATGGAGTTCTGCTCAGCTTACCAAAGTGATCAGAACAACCAAAAACAGAAGTTACAGCCACATCATGCAAAACATTCACCATTTTGCACTTGTCGGTTGTCAACCACCTTCAAAGCATCGTGATTTACATAGCCCAACCGCTTGTGCCACAATCAAGATTCGGACTCAATGGAAATAGAAGATTCAACTTCATCAGTTTTCAAAACAAAATAAAAATTTTGTTGTGCATTTTAATTGAAATAACCTTTATACCAGGAGGATCAATTTTTGAAGTTATTTGGACAAATAATCGTTCTTGTAAGCATACGAGATCAATGTAACTATAATTCTCAAAATATTTCAAGAATCAAACTCAAGAAAAAGCAATGACTTTGTTATTAAAAAAAAAACTAATTAAAAGTTTTGAAAAGGATTTAATAATTACACAAATAAGTAAAAATAATGAAAAGCGATGAATCAAATATATGAGACAAGCACCAAGGACTAGAATTCACATACCAAAATGGTTCATTCTAATTTAGTATATTAGGGTTTATCTAATTTAATTAATTATCTCCCCTTTATTTATAGTGATGACTGATACTAAAGTATTTTAATTACCTTTCAGTATATTAGAGTATATCAATCTAAGGTTGAACTAGCTCTTTCTAATTCTATTAAAACCCTAGATAAATTATGAAGTTTCAATCTAAGCCATCACAAATCATAAATCTATTTTTAGTTCAATTATTCATGTTTATCTCTCTAAATCTAAGCTAACTCTTCATCTCTTAGTGATTCAAATAACCCACAAAAAGATTATATACTAGCTACATATATAAGAAGGCAAGAAAGAACAAGAGGATAAATATAAAAAACAAAAATTCTCTTAAATGAAAATTCATGTTCAACAGGAAAATGAAAGAGAAAAATCCATTTTAGCCATTCTACACATCTTGATTGGGAGTTTAAGAACAACTCAGAGTTTAAACTAAAACTCCCCAATAAAACATAAACAGAATATGAAGAAGAAGAAAAGAGAAAAAGTCTTTAGTTTGAAAGCACTCCTCGATACTTCATAATATATCTTCTAGCCTTTAAATATGAGATTGAATGATTTGAGAGTTTTTAAAAGGTTTATTTATAACTAATTCGCCCCCTGGGTGATTTGAGATCACGCATAATCTTATATGATTTGTTAAATATCTGATTTAAAATCTTATTTAAATATTAATTTCCGCTTCTGGGCCTTATGTTCAAGCGTGGTCGGGCTCCGCTCATCCATGCCCGGGCGTGGTTGAAAATCAAATCTCCACGTTCGGGTGTTCCCGCACGAGAGCGAGATCATCGGACCTTCAGGATGTTTGCACGTGATAACTCTTTCTTCAATTCTTCTTTGCGCTCGGTTGTGATGCCAAGAGGTGATTTCTTCATGCTTAGTTACATCCATGCACGGTGAGGCTCTCTGGTGGAGTTTTTTTGCTAGCAGAGGACGCCTTTTTGGCTTGTCTCTGAGGCTTTGATTGGCAACCTCGTATTCTTTGCATTTTATATGTCATTTTCTCTCCTTTTTCTTGAAAATACACCAAAAATATTAAGTGGGACCTTTTATCCATATTTATCATTTTTCCCTGCATTATTTGATGAATAAAAGGGTGAATATACATACATACATATATATATCTAGGTAAAATATCCTCTTATCAATAATTTTCATCTAACAACTAAATAACACTTAAAATTTTTTGCTAAATCTCAAGTAAGAACATGACATCAAAGATAAGTTCTGTACTTAGTGGTGGAGTCACGTACATGAGGAGAAATGCACCCCTTCACATGAAGAAAATTGCACATGTAGTGTGAAAAATTTATAACCTTACACTTTATATTTTTAACTTTTTGAACTCTTCAAACTTAATAAAAAACATTTGAGAGTCTAAATTTAAACTTCATATCAACCTTCTCAACATATTTTTGATAAAAAAATCTCAATATATTTTTTCCAAATAAAAATATGTATAATTTTACTTATGTTATTATATTTTTTCCTTAATGTAATTAATTTTAAAAAAAAATTAAAATATTATTTTTAAATTATTTATTTTTAAATTGTATTGTCTTGTATTTAGGGTTTTGACTTGGTCGCTGTCTGTACTTAATAGAGTTTTCACAGATACAATACATTGATATGACATTACCCTTGGCTTTGACAATATATCCACTTGTCTCCCCTCACCAAACTTTACTTTGGAAGAAAATGGTTTGCCCAAAGTTTTAGAAATTTGTAAAGTTGCTGTCATATGATGAGTACAGGCACTACCATTGTAAATCACTCAAATCTCTCAAAGTGTTCATAGCCATTAATAAGTTTAATTCAATCTTTTGATCCTATAACATCATTCCCCCTTCATAAATACAATATTTCTCAAGTTGGGACTTGGGAAAACCAAGGTTTGATGAATAAAAGTATAAAACCCAATTTATTAAAAGTAACCAAACAGGCATCTAATAAAAATTGGCTTCGGTTTTCCCAAGCTGTACTTATCCAAACATAGCTGCATTAATTGGGAGTTTTAATGTGTTCTCTGATGATACATCCTGTTATGTTGCAGATTTACAGTAGATCTATTTATAAATGGGCCAACGGAATTTGAGTTAACAGGAGATAGCAAGATACCGAACAAAAAAATTAGTTGGCCAAATTATAGAAGTATCACTATTTCTTTAACAGCTCAGGTTTGTGTTTATAAAATTATAATAAAACTTTTGAATTGATCATAGCTGAGAAAGTATAATCTGCAGTTTTATTAAGTGAAGAACTATGAGTCTCATTTACAAATATATCATATCCTCTAACCTGGGTAAGAAATCCAAGCAGAATCTGACTTGAATCACCGGTCCCCCCTCAATACTTTCTAGAAGGACTCCCGGAACCTACCGATGGAAAAATGAGGAAATTAATTAAAATAATCTAAGAACAAAAAAGGCATCCCTATTCCACTTTCTTTGACCCCCTACCTTACTTATCTTTCCAAAACTGTCTATATCCAATTTTCTATATGTCAATCGTCTTGCAAATATATAATATGCGTGACCGTCGTCCATACCAACCAGGCCACCGTCTCAAACGTAGCTGTACCGCACTCTTGCGACGTGCAGCTTACCCTAGCTATATATATATATATATATATCCTCTGAGCTGGCGACAGCCACTTGTATGATGAAAAAGCCAAGCCGGCCCTTATGTACACAGCTTCATTTATATATATACACACGCACAAAAGGCTTTTACTTTATTGGACATTGTCATATATAGTCTGGCCGCGTCAATTCGCCAAAATGGCAGGTTTCATTCCAGTCGCGATGAAGTGTCAACGACTCAGCTTTAGGTACCCCGTTCCTTAAAAGTGTTCCTTGTGGAACTCAAACTTTGTTGAACCTTTTTCGTTGTACTCGTAGCAGAGTTGGCTCAGTTCTTTGGCCAACACTGGTGCACCACAGTAAAATACCCCTGTTACGAATCAAGATGGCCTCTATGTCAGTGCAAACATGAAAACAATGCTACCAACGTATTGTTCATGGAATTTGACTGACCTATTCGTCCATTGCAGTGCTTCGAACATATTTTGGAGAAAACTTTCTTCCAGTTAGGCCTAGCAAAATGAGTTCTCACCTGACAGTAGAGATTTAAAATAAAAAACAGAGAGACAAAAAGATTTTTAATTTGCACGGTCATTGCAGTGGGGAAAAAACTATGGATGACATGCTGCAGTATTGTAAAAGGCATCAGGGCTACGATGTGATTTGAGAACGACTAAAAATAACGAAGTAAAAGAAAGGCTTACCCTAGTCCCAGAAACGATATCAACTCCATTTTTGGCATGGTTTAGTGCTTGTACCATGGTGATGAGGGCCGATCTTGCATCCCCTTCCTCGTATACGCTAGTCAAGTAATTGTGCATTTCAATGACACCCTGAAGTCCATCCATAATTGGATAATGAACATCAGCAAAAGCAGCTAAACTTTATTCGCCCCTCATCAAAGGAAAGAAATTGAGAATCCTTTAAGAGGAAATGTCTATAGCATATAACATACCCTTTGATCAAGTTCAGCTACTTCATTCATGACCCCTTTGAACCAATCGAAAGAACCTTGCTCTCTTGTAACCCAGTAAAAATACGCATTTGTAGTCTTTAGTGTTTTCTTCCGCTTTGGAGAAATTTTATTAAGAGATAGTGAATCCGAGCCCCCAAGGCTTTGGTCTGATCCTCTACTTAGATCAGAGACTGAATCCTGAACATCAGTAACCACGATTGTTATCTTCATCGTACAAAATTTCACAAATGAACTTAGCAACCAAAATTACCAGACTATGAAAAGGAATCAACAAATAAATTGGAATCTGTATGTTTAAACTTTGTAGCATAAGCTACTCACCGCCATTTCCTCCATTTTGATTGTGTTATTGAGAAGATCTTTCAGAATGCTGATGAAAGGTGTTGCTCCAATTCCGAGACCAACTAGTAACAGGACATCGTATTTTCTATAATCTTGTGCTGGCGCACCATAAGGTCCATCTATCTTGAGCTTCGGTAAACTATTTCGATAGCATAAAAAATGTGTATATATATTAATAATTTGTCATAAGAACAAAGAATTAGAAGTCAAACAATGGCAGGGTCACATTCACCTTTTCTTAGTGGTTTCATCAGCCCTGAGAAGCCCACTCTTGCCGGCTACCGGAGGCTCACATGCTTCTGAAAATACCCTTTTAAGATCCTGTGTCCAGTCACCCAGTTGCCGAATGTGAACGCTCAAGTAGTCATCACCAGGGGCCGAGGTAATAGAAAATGGATGCCTGTCATATATTGTTGCATGTTACTACAAAGTACTGGCACTAATTGGGCAACACGATTCAACTTCACCTCACTTCCCCATGCTTTCATATTTTCTTCTTCTAATCCATTAGGATAGAAAGAAACTAATCACAAACTAATCACAGGTTTTCTGTTTAGTGAATATAATTCAATAAACAGGGGAAACTTAAGTCTGCCGACTTAAATTTCTTCCTGTACATTATATTCCCTTATTTCTTTTTTATCCCCCCATCATCCAGCTAAAAATTCAAGATCACGTTATCTATATTAAGCTTAACGTAAAATGTGACAACACAAATAGAAAAACGAGAATCACTGAGGCAACAGCAAGATGCAAAACAACACCAGAAAACTGATGTGATAACTTACCACTCAAACGGAGAGACAGCAGGACATTGCACAAACATGTATTGTCCGCTTTTGTAACGAAATTGTGAGGGCTTAGACATTTGCAATGTGAGAACATTTCCGGGATAAATGGCAACCTGAACATTTCCACAATGCGCAAAGAGCAAATCCGGTTAACAAGAATGTCAAATATAGCACGAAGGGATGGGGCTTTTTGAGAGGCCAGGTTGTGGTCAAACGCACTTGACTAAGTGTGTGAATGGATGGTAAACGGTGCTATGTTTGTCACTTGGTAGGAAGAACTGTATATGTCTTACGCCAATTTCAGATTTTTCTGCTCACCTTTATGAGACGGACAGTATAAAAACCAGACCGAAATAATCTCAGTATTCTTTCTCCTGCATAAAGTAAAACTGGAACCGCAAGATACATCCACGTCTGTCAAAAGAAATCAACGTCAAGCACCTAGTAAATAATCATTGGCTGCGCTACTTTGAATTAGCACCAATAATAAATGTAACTTGATCAAAATTTATATACCGTTCGCTTGTACCATAGCCGTTTGTTCACGAGGTAAAGAAAATGACCGTGGATGATGAGCAAGATATAGACAATGACAAACAGATGGTGTGAATACCAGAATGCATTGAAGCCAGTTAGCCTACTAAATGGCTTGGGCAACTTAATGAGATTTCTCCTGAACCATTTGGTGGCAAGCGTGAATGCTATAGCCATAACAATCAGCATCAAAATTCCAGTTACACCCTCGACCCCTCTAACCAGTTGTCCATAACTGGGTTTATGCGTTCCAAACACTCCATTCAAATACGTATCATATTTTTTTTCAGGCGCCTTTATAAGTCTCGGAAAATCACAAGCAAGATGATCGCCGACATGGAGTATAACACCAATCACAATGGCGGCAGCAATCGCCTGTGACATCCAAGAGTGAGGGAAAACAGAAATCATCACTAAAAATTAGAAAGGAAAGATAAAGAGCGAGTTAAGTTATGATTTGAATTCTCTCTAGCAAGTCGAGTTTTACTTTTTCTCTTTTATTTTAGCTGTCAAATTCATTTTTATATCTAAATTAAAAGGCATCTACATCAAAGTGCATTGTTTTTTTCTTAATACGACACAATATGTTTTATTACTATAATTCTTTTTTTTAATGATCAGGTAAATTTGATGGTTGAAATAATAAAATTAAATAACACATGATTTCGATGATGGGAAAAAAATATGGTTTAAGTTGAATAAGCTACAAATGAGGGGGGGGGGGGAATATAAGATACAAAAAAAGTTTATAGATAAAAATTAAATTTAAATCGGAGAAGGAGGAAAAGGATCAAGATATCGAATATAGAGGGAGATTAGAGAAAACATAGCAGTGGAAAGGGAAGGGGGTAAAGAAAAAGAGAGGCAGAAATGGTCTAGGATGCTTCATTTATTCTTATTTTTTTTATTTAACTTATTTTTAAATAAATTTTAAATAATGAAGATTTATGCGCTTGTTGAAGAGAGGAAGTTCACGCCTAAGACAGAGAGGACACAGAACTATTTCTGTTCTTACCTTTTTTATTTTTTTAGTTGTGGCAAAAACTATACAAGAGAAAAGGAAAGTTTTAATTAGCAGCGTGACGCTCCTCATTCATGTCAGCTTCAAGGCGATATGTTCATCCTATATGGAGAGTCTCAAACAAAGTGGTGTTGTCTTCCATTTGATGAGGATGTCATACGAACTAATCAGGTATAAGAAATCTCAACGGTTCAACCCATTTTCTAAACTACATTGTTATTAAAAAACACATTAAAATCTTGGTCTATCGTACTGCCCACCTAAATTACTAAATACACAATAATAATTATTAATTTTATCGAAATTTATTAGTGTATTCGGACCTAATAATTTTTATGAATTCAATTGATACTCATGTAATTGGAAACTTGGTTTTTATGAATTTTAATAAAATTATATTTGTAATAATTTATAGTAATCCCTTCGTACCTAAGTATATTCAGTTGTCAAAATCATGAAGACCAATGAAATTAATCTTGTTTAAATGTTTTTTCTTTTTTCCAAAATCTATCCCTAGTTAAATGTTTTATGATGATAAGATTCTTTATTAGGGGTTAAAGGAAAATCATTAAATAGGTGTATATCCGGAAATATTTTACAAAATATACTAAAATTATGAACAAGGTATTATAAAAAGTGACAAAGGTTTAAAAAATTAGATATTGTATCTATCGAGGAAGGGAGTATATTATAGCTAGAGTTCATGAAAAATCTAAAATTAGAAATATTGTCTGGCAGTATTATTGCTCTAATTGACTGGCATCCCAATTTTAAGGTCTCCAATTGGAATAAAGGTGGAAATTGAGACTCGAGGTTTTCTAGTGTCGGCGCGTACCTTGTGAAAATTGATGTTGTCGTCAAAAGGAACAATGTAAGCCAGCTTGGTGGACCTGAGCCAAGTTATGGTATTTCTACACACGGGAAAGAGTATAATTGCCATGTTGAGCTTCAGAGTCTCAGCTGCGCCTTTGGCCGTGGTGAGACAGTAACCCATGATCTGAAAGGCATCTTTCTGCTTGTACTGAAAAAATTTCCACGCAAATAGCCCAATCATTATTGAAATCCACAATGTTAAGACCCAGAGTCTCTTCCAGTTCTCTTGCAAATAGTAGAGTAACATGCGGCTCATCCTCCGTAACGGGCTTTTTTTCCTTAATCCTTGAAGATTCTGGCTCAAAGCTTGGCTTGTGTAGCTTAGCGCTTGGCTGTAGTTGAGGTATGTGTCCTTTTGTAACAGAAGCGTCTCCAATTGCCATAGCTGTGGAGAAATAAAACAGTGCCTCAAAATAATTGGAGGACAAAGGTTGAATCACACAAACAGATATAAACACTTTGTCAAGAGCAGCACATGGGCCTTCTTGTTGAGCGGTGGCAAGGGGTCCTTGTAAGTTATAACTCAGGATGGGGGGTAAAAAAAAAGGGCCTACCAAGGGACTCTAATAAAACAGAGTGCAGAATGACATGCAAAACATTCTTTCCTTTTTTCTAGACCGAATGAGATGAAAACTAATTGGACAAAGACAAATATTTTCCATAACAAAATTATATTAGCAATTAATGTAAAAGAAGGATCAGCCAGCATCAAAGTACACTTAAACTTAGTCCGCACAGTAAACAATGCATTCGGTGAAGTGTGGGTGTACACATATCCAGAGCTGCTGGTATTTTCCTAAAAGATTACACTTTAGTTTTATATTTACTGTAAATTCTGTTTTTCAAAAATATACAAGATTAAAAATTTTATGTATGTAAATAGTGAAAACACTGTGTATTTTTCAATTTTAAATGCAATTTTTTACAGTTAAAAATTGTGTTTAAAAAATTATTTTCATTCTTAAAAAATTTTAAATTTAAATTCTTGACCTAAAATATCTTCCCTTATTGTGACGCTATTATACGCCTTGAGAAAAAAGGGTACGCCTTTTTCTGCTACTCGTAGTATATTCCTGTATTTACTTTTGTCGTTTTACGCCTGCAACAGATCGTTTTTTTTTTTTTTTGACTATCTTCTAATCTTCTAATTTATAAATCATTGTCAAAATATTGGGACATCATTTTGTTTTATTCATTTAACATCATTTTGAACAAAAAATGAAATGAAATGAAAATTACACTACATTCACAATTTTCTAAATTTGTGTGCAACCTTTTTTAAAAAATATATATGTATTTCTATTTCAGTTGCGGTGAAAACGTAAACTACAAAGGCCAATACAGTTCAGCCAGGACGAAGGAGAGGGACACGCAATATCGGTCAACAGTTACTTAATGCAACAGAATAAAATTATAGTGATGTAGTCAATCTAACTAAGGAAGGTCAAAAAAGAAAATCTAACTACGGAATTTATTCAAGTATGATGTTTAAACGAAATCATTTAACATGCTAAGAGGATTCATTAGGACACTAACAAATATACACTATGATATGTATAAATATATATATATGGATAAATTCCCGAATATATAATTCCCACCTCAATGTAGCCTAGTCTTTCTGGGTCTAACTCCTCCATGATCAGAGCTGCATATTCTTCTGCCTGCTCCTTCAATCTTGATAACTTATTTGCTGAAGCGCTTAACATAATGATCTGCAGGAAGTCAAAGCAGACTTAACAAAAATATATATAGTGCTGTCGACGCTAAATTTCTATAATCAGATATTACGTGGTTCGGAAATAACTTTATGTAGAATGAAAATGACGATCACGCCCCCACCAACCGCACTAAAAACGTAATTATAAGTTCCAAGAATTTGATAGAGTCAGGGAAAACAGAGGTGCCATCTGGATGAAAGATGCTTGAAAAGTAAGACCTACTTCACTGACCCTTGAATATAAGCCAACTAATAATTATAGGTAAGATGCTTTAGAACATGCGGAACGTCATGACTCATGAGTAAGAACACCCATTTTTTCTCCATGCCTCTCATCCTTATTGAAATAAAGCTTAAAGCACTAGTTATTTAGAATTTGAGATTTAATTAAGCCCACCCGATCCTGCCCAGTGTTGAATATTATTTAAACTCCTATTGACAGCCTGGATGCTACATTTACGCTTAAAAGCTTTGGAAGGGCAACCTGGGAGCAAACTCTAAGGCCAACACCAAACTCTACTTTGAAATTTAAAATTGCAGTAAAAATGAATTTAGGTGATTTATGTATATGGAGTATAATTTTTATATACAACATAATTTGCTAAAAAACTACATTATTCGTAATAGTTTGACTAATCTTTAAGTATATGCAGTAATCAGAATTTAATTGCCAAAAGTTATTTCCAAGAAAATGATTAGACCAATTAACAATCCAATTCAACCGATTACGCATAATAAGATATGATCCGTCTTCTGAAATAAATAAAATATTTGCTTACCTCTTTCACTTCGTGTTCGATGATTCTACCATCTTCGTTCTTATCTACCCTGGGAAGATGATTAACATTAAAATTTAATAAAACATGCAAGGATATTATTTGAATTACAAGCAAAGAAAGTATCAAAGTTTTGATGAATATATAATTATTAAAGCAAATATACAGTGACCGCTTGTCCTGCCGGGGCAATTAAGTACGTGCTTCGGCGTGAAGTGCGAACTTTATTCAAGAGAACAGTATTTTTTTAACTAATCAAATAAATAAACTTATCAAAGATGATTAATCAATGATTACATGTCAAAGAAGATCTGCAGTCGCGAATCAAAACTTTGATCGGTAATTTGCGACCAGAATTCGTGAAGATCATCTTTGCTGATTTTGTCAATCTTCATTCTTCTTCTACGACTTAGAGCGTCGAACAGTTCCAGAGCGAATTCTTTAGAATCTTTCATCCCTTCAAGAAGACAACGTAAACTATCATATATTGAAAAGAAAAAACAGGAAATTAAGCGCCAGATCTAAACAATTTGCTACTAATTTTTCCCCTTGTTCTCTCCCCAAAATTCGTAAAATCCAATGCATTGGAACCAAGGGAAAACCGGCCGGAAAACTTTTTCAATTAGAGCACAAGTTGAGATGAACAATGCAAAAAACTTGATTGAAGACAATATGCACCTATGCATTGAGCAAAATCGGCTCGATGGAGAAAACCATCCTTTGCAAGCCTATCAAAATTGCTCTGCACCTCGTTCCACGCATGGACACCATCAGATTTACTGCTGATAAATTTCAGGCCACGGAGTGCCTTGTGAGCACCTAAGCGTGTTCGATCAAGCTGAGCGCGTTGCTTCCTGAGTGCTCGAGCTGCCAAAGCCGTTTCGAAACCACTTCCACCGTCTCCAATTCCATTCTGAGCAGAGGAAGAGGACTGAGTGCGCGATGCATGGCTGTGGCTCCAGGAAAACCGCCGGAGCTCCGCTTTTAGCTCCTGCGAGAATTGCCTGGCCTTGGCTACCGCCTCCGCTTTCAGCTCCTGCGAGAACTGGCGCAACCTGCTGGACGAGGTCCTTCTGATGGTCGGCGATCTCGAGGCCGACGCCGGAGTTTCATTTCCACTAGTGACCATTCCATCTTCGAAATTAATGACAGCAGCAGTGGCCGGCTCAACGCTGCGAAGAACGATAGTGTCATCATCTTGAAGATCGAGAGTGACCTCGACAAACTCCTCTGCAGCCGAATTGGAGTCAGTGCCGGGGGAAGTTCCGGCGCTGACGGTCGCCAAACCGGGGACGGTGTCGGAGGCCCACCGGCGTTCGTGCTTAGGATTACTACTCATTGAAAAAAAAAAACAAGACAAAACAAAACAGAAAATGAATGTATTACTCGCTCTTCCTAATCTGATTCTTCCCTTTCAAGACTTAATCATTGGAATGAAAATGAAGAGGGAGAGGAAGAAGACGGCGTTATTAGAATGAAAATGGAGAAGAGACGGAGGCGTAAAGAGGTGGAAAGGAGGGGAGGAGAGAGAATGGAGCTAGGAGAGGTTGAGGAATGGATATTGGGAATGAGAGAGAACAAATGCAGCGAGGTGATTAAATTAATCAGGGGAGCTTAAATATAAAGACGTGGTAGTACATCCTGAATAGAGAGGGGGTGGGGAAGGGGAAGGCGAGTGTGTGAGGAGTGACCACAAAAAGCAGTTTTGGTGCGTTGTTGATCGACGCGGTTAAGTCTGGCTTTTCAGAGGAAGTGGCAGAGCCCAGGGGCTACGAATGCAGAGCTGAGAGACTATGTGGCCGAGCGCGGGGTCCGAAAAGGAAATGGAATATCTACTTTACTCTAATGCTGGGTCCCACCGTCACGCCTCGCCGAGTCAACCAGCACCTTCTTCGTGCATCCTTCTACTGCGAAAGTTTGTCTAAATCACAGGGATTGTATAAATTAAACAAGAGGTGTTGAGTTTGAGTTTTTGAGAATGTAGTGGCGTTAAATATTTTATGAGAGAATTTTGTTGTCTCTTGTGATCTTGCTCAACTTGATTCAGATTAATTTCAGTCCTGTCTTAGAACGTCAGGTGGTCTGATTTAAAAATAAGCACCTGATTTTAATTTCTATAGAACCCGCAGCCAAAACATTCTATGACAGATGATTTTTATTAAAATCATAAATAATCGTGAAAAATCAAAACTTGATGATAATTTAGTGGGTAAGATTTAAATTCCGTGATGATTTTCAACACTTGCTTTAAATTCTATCTAGTTTGCCCATGGTTTTATGGTCTAATGACATGAAATTTTTTTATAATAAAATAAGAGGTTGTAGTTCAATCCTGCATGCAATTTTTTTAAAAAAAATGAATTTTATTTAGTTTTCGTTTTTTTCACATTCCTCCGCGCCCAATGTGAAGATTTATATCCATGAGTGAAGGAAGGAAGAAAATAATAAATGATATCCAAAATTAAGGACGAAGCCACGTAATGGAATGGATGAACAAAGTTGCAAGCTAAACAGCGGCGTGATCTTTCTTGAGGCAGATGAATAGTCCTCCTGGAAGAAAACACGCAATATATGTCAATTTCTTCAACGAAACCTGTCCTTTTTATATGCAATCCCAATCTTCTTATTATTTTCCTACAAATCGATATCCTAATTACAAGTAGCTAGTAATTTGAACATCGTCTTGATTTCACCAAAATTTCTTCACATTAGGGCCCTTCAGCTTAATTTCTTCACACCCAAAACATAATATTTGTTTACACTTTTAAAAATAAATGAATTTAAAAATAAATTTTTCATTATTCTAATAAGTTACTTTGAATAGTTTTTAAGAATAATCTGATGCCGCCGAAGATGAAAGTGAATGTTTTAAAAATATAGGATACAAAGATGTCATAAAATTTTAAAATATCTAAATATTTTTATAAAACAAAAATAAAAAAATTGTAAAATTTAAAATTAACTAACTAATAATTATTTTTTATTATTATATCCTGAAATAAAATAATGTATGCTTTTTATAAAATCTATACAAATAAATCTCTTTTTATAAATATTTAAATTATTTGAAAATTACTTATTTTTTAATTTCAAACAAACGCTACCGTCTAGTAATTATTAATATAAATCTCGCAGCCAAGTGAAGCCAAACGAATGCCAAATAGGATCAACAACGCGCCCAGGCATAAATGGGAACGAGCATGTGGTGTCGCAAAATATACACCAATTTCGTGAAGAATTTTTTTTTTTTTAAAAAAAGTGCAAGATGATAGTTTTGTATAGCCACGGCCGAGCAGAGTCAAATTACCTCTTCGTTGATCTGGTTATAGCTAGAGAAGGATAATACGAAAAAACACCGCAAGTGACAGAGATATAATTTCTATTGACTTTGAATTTAAATATGAAAACCTTCAATGATATTCCATCTCCAACTAAAGCATGTGACTTGTACCATAAGCTATTTCTTGGAGTTAGGCAGAAAAGGAAGGGACGCAAATCAGTCCCTTCAACAACAACCAAAATTAAAAAACAAAAAAGGAACGGGGTAGAAGAAAAATAAAAAAGCACGTTTGACAATTTTCACTCACCAACCGCTCCATTGGAATAATAATAGTATTGGGGGGGAAAAACCCAACAAAAGAGGTTAAAAAAGTCTACCCATTGCAGCTATTTGACGCCAGAAAAATAGATACTTTCTACCATGTGAATAAATAACCAATACACACTCTCCACTCACCACCTAGTTGATTTAACTACTCGTCGTTTACCAGTATAATTATACGGCATTTTAATGTATACTCTTGAAGTAAAAATCACTTCCGTCTTTCTTTAGTACAGCCGATCAGAGTAATTGAAATTCATGATATTTTTGAAGCTCTTACTCTATGTTGAAAAATAAAATAAAATAAAATTAATGTCTATTTTGTATTTATTAAAATCCTCATTCACGATCGAAACAAATACTTTCTATCCTTTTTTTAGATCATATAAAATATTAGATCATCACTCTTGACTATAACTTTAAAAATTCAAATAAATATATGAATTCGTTAACTCACCATGTAAATTATGAAGATTTTGATACTAGTGCTTTTAATAAATGACCCACCCTGGTGTAGTGATCTTTTGATAGTTAATTGGAAAAACAACATTTTGATTTCTGTACTTTATTCGTATTTTGTTATGAATTTCTATACTTTTTTTTTGTATTTTAGGTCTTTATGTTTTTATTTTTTTAGTGTTTTAAGTTTCTGAATGAATAAAGTATAGAAACGTTGGATGAACATAAAATATTAAAAAATAAAAGTGTAAAGACCCAAAGCATAAAAAAAAATGCATGAATTTATAACAAAATACAAGTAAAGTGCAGAGACAAAAAAATATATTTTTTCTAATTAATTTAACATAGTTTTATTTTTTCCTACATGGTTTTATTGTGACTTTATATTTTTTTTTTAAAAAAGACCTTCTTGGTTGGAGATAGTAAAATTTTTAATCCATCAAATATGTTTAAGCTATCAACTTAGTCCCTCAAATTTAATTTATATCGATTTAGTCTTTTAAATTTACATTAATTATTAATTTAATCGCTTAAATTTACCTTACTATCAATTTAATCCTTATTATTTAAATAAAAAATAACACCACTAAATTTACTATCATAATGACATATTCATGACAACTATATAAATTAATGAAAAGATGCATAATTATTTATAAGTATGAAAAAATAAAAATGAAAAAACAGAGTAAAGGATTAGATTAATAAAAATTAAATTGATGTGAAGGCTAATTTTTTTTTTATATAGCTACGCACACATATGCATGTCAAGTTATCAAAATATTTTATATATTAAATTAATTTGAAAGTAAGTTCGTATTTCAAAACTCAAATGACTAATATAATAATTTTAAAAAATACAAGGAACCAAGGCAATAAAAAATTAAATTTGAAAGGCTAAATTAACAATTGAGGCAATTTCAAGAGACTAAAAATTTTATTATTCATCTTAGTTTTTTTTTTCAATCTTTTTCCTTGAACTGAGGAATTAATATATAAATAATAAATATAAAATGTTAGTATTGGGGGAACTAGCTAAGGAAGTTCACCAACCTGCTGAATTTGGATTCACAATTATTTCTTTCTCTGGAGACCACAGAATTCAAATCCAAGAAACAATCAAAGGCACCCCAGCGTTTGGGAAAATTGGAATAAGGTGTTCGTTACAAGTGACAAAGGGCTCGGATACGTGTCAAGACCCAAGAATGCTTCTTTCGTGCGACCTGGTCTCAATCGTTGACCCTGTTGTTGTGGGATGGGATGTCACCCACTTTGAATTTTACTTTTAATTCTGGTTCCCTCCTAAACTAATGATAACTTCAGCAACAACACAGGAAATCAGGGGAAAATATTACTTTTTTATATTTCAATTTTCCAACCATTAATTCCATCACGCAGTAGTACTTTAATTATATTGCCCTTTCTGTTACGACTTAATCAATTGATCTCTGAGAATGTTCCACCGGTCTTTCTTTGATAAGTTAACTGAATTGGATTAAATTATTTCGGCTACTAATATACTTCTTGGGATAAAAATAACTCGATTTTTTAAGCCAATAGTTTTAACTTTAACCTTACAAATGATAAAAAAATATATTGAAACAAAAAACTACTTTTAATTACACTTGACAATATTGAGAAATGCAAACTCAATTGTATGCTAGATATCAAATAGTTGTCAAAGAAAAATATATTAATATGACTGCTGCTCATTCACTGGTTGAGATTGAAATGGAGAATTTACCGATTTGTTTTATTTAAAAATTAAATAGGCAATCTGATACGGTCAAATGTCATATACGCGCACACGCACACGCACACTTGACTCTGCATATACATTCATGATGTTGAAGATACAGACTCAATCGTTAGTGGAAGCGAAAATCAAGGGTAAAAGGAGGAGGAGAAAGCCAAAACAGAGAGAGATGTGAATCTCAAAATGATTATACATTTCCGTTTCTTCTCGGCCAGCTCTCACAGTTTAAATTAAAAAAACTGAAAAAAAAATTAAAATTGAAAATCAAACAAAACGTAAAACGTAAATTTCCCAAAATAAGCAGACACAAAACAAGCAATTTTTTTATTAAAAAAAAGCCATTCAGATTTTAAATTACTATAAGTAAAGACCTGAAAAAATTGGGTGTTTTTTTTTTTTTTTGAATGAATCGCCGTTGAAGGAAGTTTGTGCTTACTGCTTAGTAAACTAATGGCATGAATTGGTATGATTACTTGTTTGATTCAACGAAACAACAATAGACGATGTGTCATTCTTTTCTTTGACAGAGAATTCGCGATTTAAGAAAAGCGAGAGGCATTACAAACTGACAAATTCTACTCTCTAATAATTTTTCTTTTCCTTTCAGCACGCTAACAAATAATTTAAACAAACATTTTGTTGGGCCTGAATTAAGAATTGAAACTCAGTCATATATTGTTTTCTGCCGACGCTGAACTGAACTTGATCTTAACTAACAAAAGTTTCACCGAGCAAAACGTAGAATGAATTCGTAAGATTCTACTCACTCACCAACGTAGTTAGTACAAGTCAATTTTATTTATTAAGAATAATTTAATTTAATTTATCGATTCCCAAAATTTTTTTTTTTTTTTGGTGGGGAGTGGGGGATTTTATTTGGATACATGGAAGAAAGAGGGGCAGAAAAGGGAGATGGGGATGGAGATTGAGATTTGTGAATAGGTGGGCTTCTAGAAGAGCGTTACGTATAAAGCCCAGAGATGCCAGGGGCCCACCGCAAACTTCCAAGTCAAATGCT